TTGTGCACCCCTGATCTTTAGACTGTATTTTAGGCTTGTCCTGATCCGATATTTGGATCGTATCGGCCGGCATGAGAAAATGCCAGATACATTTATTTTTAAAAGTCCGATCCCACCCGAGCATTAGCATTAGCATCTGTAACCCACAGGTCTGTGTAAACTTTAGTTGTTATAAATCCCTGTTCAACATGAGTCTCTCAACTAAGTAAGTAGAAAAAAAAATTCAATTTTAATACAAAAAGCTGGATCGGGACATCCCTACTGTATTTCTACATAATAAGATGATTTCTATAACCATAAAATAGTCATTGAGGGGTGAATTGATTCAGACGGAGCACTACTGAAGGCCTAGGTGTGAAATGCACGGTCCGCCACTGATAGATAGATAGATAGATAGATAGATAGATAGATAGATAGATAGATAGATAGATAGATAGATAGATAGATAGATACTTTATTGATCCCCAAGGGGAAATTCAAACGAAATTCAAACGAAAATGGGAAAGTTTTGGAGGTGAAAAGAACCTTATGTTAGCACACATTAATACTTATCATCAATAAAAGTCAAGCCCTAGGAGTAAGGAAGCAATAAGGTTGTTTCTATAACAGAATGTGAAGAAAACAACCATGATTGGCTCAAAAGATCGCTATCCCATGTCCTCTTTTTTTCTGACCAAACATTTTTTTCATACAAGTAAAAAAAAATTCTTTTTTAAATCAGTAATTAAGAAAATTTTAAATAAAAAAATAAAATAAAAAATGCCTCCTAATGATCAAAATGACGGTGAGCTTTTCTCCTGTAATCATGGGAACTCAGGAAGTAATCGATGGGCAGCCATTTTCTTTCCTCCTGACGATTCACTTCCTGTTAAATCTGAGCCTTCCTTTCTCTTTTGTCTGCACATCATTTCGGTTTTAAAGAGTGTGTTTTTGATGCGGCCTGACTGAGAACTCATAGTAAGATGTGTGTGTGTGAGGTCCTTATGATGTCACGCTACACACACACAGCTGTTGTCCCGTTACACAACTCAGAAAGAATGTAAAAACACAAACCTACGACCAACTTAAAGCCTGCGGCATCAATTCTGCCTTCAGGTTTCTAACCCTTAATTATAGCTTCCACCCCAAACACCTTATTCGTTGCGGTTTGTGGGGATTTGGGGGTGATGTCATGCTCTTTTAAATCCCGTTTCGTAATTTCCTGCATGATTTCCCCATTTCGATTGCTGACTAATTTGCTTTAGTATCATTTCATTGACTTGACTCTCTAAAATAGTTCCAAATCCATATTAACTGACTGCCAAAGCTGAGAGATAAAGATAGATTTCTTTTTATTTGATGTGGTAGAAATAGTTTTACAAATATTTCTTTTTTAACCCTGTAATGCCAAATGTATATATATATATATATTTGATACATAAGGTTTCTGAAATATTTTGCGTCCGACACCTTTTGCATAATTTAATGGTAAAAACTTTGCTCAAAATCCTATTGTACACAATCAGATACACCTGATAACAGGGGGCAGAAGACTACACAAAAAATAATCTTGACTTATCGCATAGTAATAAATGATTAATATTAAAAAAATATTTAAGTTTTTTCTTTTTACATATTTTGTTAAAAGGCCAAATAAGGAATTCAAACCAAAAATAAGTAATTTTCTGTTTTGTTTGATTCTTGGATCAGGCTTTAAAGGGTTAAAAGAACTACAAGGAGTCACATAAACCAAGAGGTAGTCAAAAGGGGCCGAATCCAAGACCTGGACCCCCTCCCTCCCAAAACAAAACCCACCTCTGTGTGTTCCCCCTCATTGATTTCAGAGGTCAGGAACAGACTCTCATCACTCGAGGGTCTTAATCATGTGGGGAATGCTGAGTAAATTCCTTTCTGGCTGCTCCCAGAGACCCAAACACACTTCCATTGCCTTAAACCAGCGGGG